GCTGCTCGGAATTCAGAGCGCTGCGCTGTTACGGCTGAGGCCTGGGTTTGAATCGAGGCAATGATGGTCTCACCTAAAGCACCAAGATGAGAGCAACAACGAATAAACCCATCACATCAAATTTGCAAATGCAATCAATTTGTATAGATTCCAGTTTTGAGAATTCAACGTATTTCGTGAGCGAACTTTATTCTCTGTAACCGTGTGGGGAAAATTATCCACACTCCTGAAGTTACGGGAAGAAATCTGGATCTGAACATAAGTTCCGTGTTATTTCTGTAATCTCTAATAGTTCAGGTATCTTCCCATAACCGGGTGATGTGAACTCAACAAGAGACCAAGCAGAGCCTCATCTGCAACAGAGACCGGCCTCACCAAAAAATGACAAAAGCAAACACAACACAAATAAACCGAACGGCAATGTTCGCAATTCCACGCGAGAGATCCCCAGTGAGTTTTTTTTTAATGGCGACTACCCGCATGCATGGCACAACTGCAATGGAGCTGGAGATAAGGGACAACAAAAATAAACAAAGTCAATGTCTTCCCTTCATTGGGATCGAGTGGAAAGTAACGATAAGCGAACTAACACAATTTCCAATCGGGCTGTCATATCAAATAGATAACGAGACTCGTAAAGGGGGGGGGGGGGTCTCCAATTGTGGATTGGATTTGTTGACTAAAGAAAAGCACAAGCACTTCCAGTTAGCTTCACACAATGCAGATGCAAGAACTTTTGCTGGGTACATGAGTAGCAATCCAGTATTATGAGCCACTCATATGCAAGTGTCATTGATTAAGGCATGGAGCATATTCCATTGCCCTTGCTTGAGGATTACAATCTATGGCATGTAGGTCCTGGGGGGGGGGGGTGGGGCACACGGCAAGAACCCGTGAGTTGGCTTCATCGGCGTGACGCGAGGGTCCGGCCACACAAAGACAGCGAGGCGCTGCGATCAAGACGAAGTTGGAAGTGCAGCTCGATATTCAAAGCGCACGTGTGATCGAGTCGACGAATCCAAACGAGCGCAGACCCCATTTGCCATTGTGGGATTTTCCATCTTGAACCTTTAATAAGCACACACCTTGCGTGACGACGATGGCAGCGTCATATGCTCGTCCGCAACGGGACCTTTGGGTTTTTTTTCACACCGGAAAATGATGCATTGGCCTCGTATTAGCAATACAAATCGAGAGGTTTCATGTGAATAAAGCCACCCGATATTTCAGTCATGGTACTCCTGGCTAGGAGTGGCACGCTAAGGTAAACTCATTCAATATGCCACAAGCCAACCCTTGCCGCTCCAGCCAATTGAAGTCCAAAAGGTGATAGTTCACATGAAAGTGCGGACTGCAAACAGAATTTACGCATTTACCTAAGGATGCATTTACATACATCTAACTAGCAGCTATGATGAAACAAAAATAATACAGCATTACCGTATTTTGCAAGAATCACCGATAAAAAAACACGCAATTGGTCACTAGTGGTCAAAGGTCGCAAAGGGTTTTGATTCCTTACCCGTACCCGGCCGCACCAGGGTCGCAAACGGGTACCCGTACCCGGCCGGGTAGGATATGGGTACCCGTACCCGATACCCGGCCGGGTACGGGTAGCGGGTATCGGGTAGGGTACGGGTATCGGGTGCCCGATTGCAACCTCTGGGATGAAGCCATGTTGAAGGCGCGGGTGGGTTGATTCTAGGAACTTGAATTGTGAGAAGAGACAAGACGTTGGGAAATGAGTGACAAACGGTTACTCCCCAGTGACTCACGGCCTACCCGTACCCGTACCCGGCCGCACCAGGGTCGCAAACGGGTACCCGTACCCGGCCGGGTACGGGTAGCCAGGTATCGGGTAGGGTACGGGTATCGGGTACCCGATTGCGACCTCTGCTAGTGGTGCAATCGTTTGGACCGGAAAGCGGTGGCGAAAAGCAAATTATAATTACGCACTTTAAATATGCTTTGCAAGATTACCGCAGGTGGGTAAATGAACATCCACGGAGAGAGTGTTCCCAGAAATTGTTGCACAGCCACGTGCATTGTTTCGTGATGAATGTTTACAAGCTTCTTTGCAAGCGATGCTGCAAACAAAACAATTCCACCTTGCGCAGTGTAGGTGTCTGGAGGGGTCATTGTTATGCAAACGTGCTTCGTCTGCTAATTGATTTTAGTCAGGAACGAGTTGGCAGCAATCCAAAATTATATTGGTTTTTTGCAGAATTGGAATTTCCACACCAAGTACATGCCATTGTCCCGTTACTACGGAAATAAGTGCTATTTTTATTTAAATTTGAATGCGCGTACGATGTATTTGTGAGCCAATCTTATACAGTTGTACACACAAATACTACAGCTTCGTACAAAGATTAAGATCACCCATATGGCCTTTAATAGACTGCCGGGGTAAGTGCTGTTAAAGAGTAGCACCTGTGAAGGCCGGCACGGCACATGAGGGGTTGGGTGGCCAAGACAACGCCCGACCGCCTTTGTCTCACCGCGATGTTTACAACGAACCACACCAGGTCCTCATTTTCAGGCTGAGTCGACCTAGTGGATGCCAAGGATCAATTGCAGATAATCGCCACCGGTGTTGGTGGCCGTGAGCGGGAATCGAACTCGGGTCGGCGGGTTCACAGCGCAAGCCGTTACCCGCCGCACCATCGTTCCCGTTCGCGGAACAGAAATCCCAAACGCGCCTCTGCGCTCGCTGCAACTTCTGTGACGTTCGGCTCAACGGAGGGCCGCGCAAAGAAGAGCAAGGTACTACGCAGCCACCGTTTATTCTCATTTCAGTGTAAATTGCAATGTGCCGTATAAGGCTTGAGCAATCAGATCGATTCATAGAAGTGTATAGGGGTCCCTGAACAATTGTAGTCAATTAAGTTGCGGCGGAGTCAATAGGTCAATCAGGCGATGTAATGTTCAGGGTTCCATTCGCTTGACCCACAACACGGGCTTTGTATTGTAGACACGGCCATTCGACTAATGCACAGAAGCTTCTGCAATGGAGCAATAATCATTTTGCAGGCACACAATGAGGGCACCCACTGACGAAATTCAATGGGCCCATTCCAATACAAGCAATCAACACTGAATCATATGTGCAATAGGTGACGTTTTGGGCAATGACCCAACTTCATGGCAAAGGCACGACCAGTCTTCCAAAGAGCCTGGTATTAAAGGGAACATTGTTGGAACGTTGATTAACTTTTCATAACGTTAGCATCCACAATTTATATTTAATACTTGGGCTTGTCTTTTTGTTATTGTTTTTTACACAACTGGTTGTTTTGCTCTTACGCGTCGAATTTGTTCCCAGCGATATTGGCTCATCAATTTGACCTCTCATTGGCTGTGAGGCCAATGCTTGAACCGCAACCCATGGGCTGCATGGGTCGGTGGTCTGGCATTATGGAACTTTTTCTAACTTTCATGAACTTACCTCGACGAAGACCCAAAATGAATATTGCCTGCAAATTTGGGTAAACGTTAAACTGATGTAATGGTGGTGCACCGTTGGTGCGCAGGTAAGTAAAAAAAAATCAGTTGTCGCAATATCGAAGCAGTCAGAAGACATATGTCAGTGCAAAATTTGATTTTAGACTGTTGTATGACGGTGTGACAGTGTGTTATGCTGCACCGGTGTACCGCCAATACGTCCAAGCCGTGTCCAATTCTATCGTTCCGTTCTCAGATCAAAGTAAATAAAATAAAAAACCTTCAAGCAACAAATGTTTCCATCGAGATGGGAAGAAGAGCATGTGATGCATCTCTCACGCACATACACCAACAAATAAACACTTTCTTTCACATTATTTCACAGGGAGAGAGAGGTGGGTGTGGAGGTGTCGGAAGAAGGACCATTAATGTTGGCAACTTTAACCCTTTTCCGTTCTGAGATGTCTGAAAGTGGCAGGGTGGGTGTCCCGTTATGCTGCTCAATCTTGGAACGCGCAAAGCTGTTGAGCCTGAATTTTATTTATGGAGGCATCGCAACTTCACTCACCATTTTTCGTTCCTCCCTGAAGACTTGTCTTTTTTCAAGAGCAGTTTTCCTCTACTACTTGCTGTCCTCATCCTTAAAACCTTAACCATCCTCCCCAGTTCCCTCTCCTAACCTCGCCCCTCCCTTTCCCTATCATCACCCTTCCTTTGTATCCCTTCCCCTTACCTAACACTCAAATCCTATCCCTTTTCCCCATCGGCTAATAACTAATGTATCATATTGTTTAATGGCTTAGCAATCATTGGAAGCATTTGATAAACCATTTCGGGTCTTAATTGATTGTGTTCACGCTTACTGTGACTTTCAGACCGCTTTCCATTCTCTTCCCTCTCCCCCCTCCTCTTTTCCGAACATAGATGGACTCGTCCGTCTGAACAACTGCCAAGTCGCTGTCCGTGGTGCTGACGTTAAGAAAAAAACGCCACTTTTTTCAAATTTTCTTGCCGTGGTTTTCACACCTCATTATGATTGCTTGTGTTGCAATCGAAACGTCGTGAGAATGTTATTGTTTTATATTTTTATTATTTTATTGTTTCCCTTCTACATGACTTTACCGAAAAGAACCAAGAATATACTGTCCCATTGTTTATTCTTCGTAAAGTACTTTGACAAAAGCGCTTTATAAAGGCATTGTACTCACCCCGCAGGAGAACTGGAGCGACACGACCACCCTCTACGATAGCCGGCGTCATCGGAACAGAATCGGCAGTAAAACTGATGACGTACACGTATGTCACGCACATCATCGGAACGGGAAAGGGTTAAGAACATTTACAGACTCCTTTGCTGAGGAAAGGGAAACTAATGTGCAAATTGGAAGCTCCGTTATGCCCGCCCCCCCCCCCCCGTCCAGAGAAATTCTATTGAGACATGCCTGAGAAATTCAAACCGTTACACGATTCTGAAAACGTAGATTATTCCGCCATGGGTTGAATGCACACCCAGAGAGCAATGAGGAATGAAGATCCAGGAGAGACAGATCACTCACCGGGTCTTGGGGGAAGTCGTGAGCCATTCCTCATGTTTTTCAAACGTAATCAAATATGCCGCTATTTCCTGCAAACCAACGGGACAGAGAGACAACGGCGCAATTCGTAAAGGACACGTCAACGCAGCGAAACTTGCACAGACGGGGGTTTTAAGTTAACGCAGCACCATTCTATCTCATCGAGTCCCGCGTAAAATTATTTTGGAATGAAATGCCGCTTGAATTTGCAATGAGTTTGAATGCCAGGGGGAGAAAAAAAAAGTGTGTACGGCAAATGAGATAATTTTTCAAATCAGTTTTATAAGGCCAATATTAACCCTCCAAAATGTAACCTTATCTTTATCACAGGTGTTAAATCTCCTAATACAGGAATATTTTTTTTATAAGAATTAATACATCCTCACAGATTCATCGCAAGAAAACAGTGTCTGCCTGTAATATTCTTTGCAGTGGCGTCTCTCTTCAACAAGGATGAGGCTTCTATGGATGCCCTGGTGGCTTGCTAAAGTGTTGTCAGCACACAGCCAATGCACATTCCCAGGTAATTATCAAAGTGGCAACGACGTTTCATCACTTATTGGCAAATGGCTTAGGTCGTAAAAGTGAGACACTCAGGCACAGCACTTCCATCCCAAAAACAATACGGTGACCCTTACATTTGAGGAGCAGGCATTAAACACCACCGCAATGCAAGAAGGCAGTGTAACGCAGCGACACTGTTTACATTCAATAGAACACACTTCAGTTTTATATCGCGTAACAAAATTGCGCTTTTGTATACAGCCAAGGCAGAGCAATGCGAGAGTGAAGTGCTGCAGAGTATAAGCAGATGCACATGTATAAAAAAATAAGGTAATATAAAATGTAATGTAACATTCGAAGAAGAAAATCACTAACAGGGACATGCAGGTATTTGACGACATCAGTGATAAAAGAGTAAAGTGCAAAATGCGTTCTTGCTTTCCCATATACTGGGAGCAATGGTCGCCGGGCGGCAATGCTCTGAAGGAAACTGCTTGAAGGGTGTCGACAGCTGAGAGTGAATAGTTCACCAGAAGCAGGCAAAGTGGCCGTCGTTGTCACAGTTCTCGTGAAAACAGAACGCCCCGTGAAACAGAAATCCTGGAGTGCATTTGGCCCCAGGGGAGGAATGGCATCGCGAACGGCAGGGCAGGGAACGGATGCACGTTGGGCACTCGGGAGGCTAATGGGATTGCACAGTGGCGTGACAAAGCACCCGAGTTAGAAAAAAACAATTCCGTTAAAAACCACTAAGCTACTACAATAGCAGAGGCTGCAGCCAGGCCTCCTCTACTGACAAGGGCACAGATGCCACCTAGGCCACGCATACACGCACACACGCTCCGGACAGCCGAAGGGTAAGTACTTTCCAGTGGGCCAGGAGATGGCAACTGGTTTGGCAGATTGGATCCCGATCGCACTTGGTGATATCGTGGGCAGTTATCTGCGCGTGAAATCGACCGCACCGTGGACAGTAACGGCGTTGTCAAAACCTTGCGAGCACACGTGTGTAAGAGACGGCCATTGTTGTGTCCGCATCGTGGCCATACATGGAAAAAATAGAAAAATACTATTACAAGCAAATTTATAACCGGAGGATATCATTAACCTGTAGTAACTGCATAGAGCGTACACGTGTGAATTGTGTTTCAAAGAAACAGTTTGGTCTAATACGATTAGCAGGAGACTAGAATTGAGACTTAAAATATTCTAAACCCAGGGATAAATGTGACATTTTCGTTTGTGGACAAAATGAAAACATATCACGTAACGATAAAGTGCTATTCAAACATTTTGGCTTGCATATAGTCAACTAATTGTAATATATGGACAAAATCAAGGCCTTTACTTGGATTTAAACAGTGGCTATCTCCATCTCTCTCTTCACATGGTCTTTATGCTCAAGGTTGAGAAATGAATTGCTGAAACTTTTCAAGACATTTTTACAGTTCTACGTGGGCTTTCTTTTTTGTTTTTGGTGCCATGCATTTTGAATGAAACAAGTCATTTTTATTCACAAAGTCTCAAGTGTCTCCCAAGGTCAAACTCACATTGGGGTGGTCCTCATCTGCCATGGCGACCCTCAGCTTGTCGGTGGATATTCCACATTCCCATGGTTCAAAGCGAGTCCTTCCCCGGATGCACGCTCAATGAAAACATCCATTTACTGGCAAAATAAATAAATTGCTATCCAGGTGGGCTGTGCGGAAGAGTTAGGAGAAGGGGTTTGAGCACCACTTTTCCCGCGGTAATGTGCCCGTACAGGTTGACGGATGGTGCTGCTGCGGCAGCATTGTTTGTCAGTGTGTTGCGTGTGCTCACAGGGCTCTGTAGTACAAACACGCGGGATGCGTTTGGGTCGCACGTGTCTGGGCTCTACATTGGTATTGATGAGATGTACGGGACCGAGAGAACCGAGACAAAGTGCGGCCCACCACAGTCGCACACGCCCGCCGTCAGAGTCACACGGACGCCGCCGCCGCGCTGTAAAGCAGCACTGGGGGCGTCGCTGACGACGCTACACGCACCACCTGATCTCGGAAGTTAGCCACAAAAATAAACTACATTAAAAAAAGAAGCACGGTCCATCTGTTAAGACGCAGGCTCTCGCAACCAACATTAATATCTATTTTTTTTGGGTGGGGGGGGGGGGGGGTCAGGTCACGTAAGTAACAACGCTTGTCGTACACCCTCTTCTGCCCCCAAAAAATAGACAATCGATAAAGTTGTCACGCGAAAGGTCGTGGCCAATCTGTTGCCGCTTCAGCAGCTACCGCCGCCTGTGTTGGGGAGAGCGATCCACACAAACGTAATATTCGTTGAGCACCTGACAACTTTATTCATTGGCTGTGCCGGCTGGATGAGGGTGTACGACACACATTTTTACTCGCGCGATCTGACGAAAAAAATCAATCATCAATCAAACAGCGGCTCTGCTATTCATTAGCGCTTTAAAAAATAGAAATGATCACTAGACACATGCAATTATATTTCTGCAACGGCCTTTAGATCTGAGATGGGTGCCTACCACACAAAGTCAGCACCGCGTATTTATAAACACAGTGCAGCGCTTGTTTTTTTACTTTAGCGTGGGAGTCGGATTTGTTGTTGATGTTGTTATTATTATTCTGTAGCACATCTTGACAAGGTTGTACAACCGCAATGCATCTACGGCCACCAGTGTCACAGCTGGCACGGCGCTTAGAAGTGCACAATACATCTTTCTTCCTCCCACTGTCGCCAACAAAAGGATTAGGAGGCATGTCAGACGAACGTTTAAGCGGGGCATCTCAAAACACAGCGAACACCTCCACGGACCACAGGTCTGTTTAATCCAGCCATCAATATGATAACGGCCAGAAAGCCTTAGAGCACACACGTAGCACCACACACACACATATCACCAAGACAAAAGGGCCCAGTTGTATTTCAGGCTGTAAGGTGCCAAATGCTGTTCGCAAGTTACCGGACTTACAGTGCATTGTTTGCGAACCACTGCACCACCACTCCCCGCACGCAAACACAGGGAGATGCACACCGGATGAGAATTACAATAAATTCCAGCCATTCTCAATCGCCCAACGGATGAAGGCATCCCCATGCCATGTCAGTAATGGAGTGTTTTTTGACTAGGAGGAGGGAGTAAGTAATATTACTTTCCACTTTTGTTATGTTTGGTCTGGAATCGAACTCGAGTCGTCAGTTTCATAGCACGACATGCCTAAACCATTGCACCACCGCTCTTTCCACTTCAGATTAATTAGTCCTGTTTAAACGGTGTCGCAATGTGGTTTAGCGCAGGTTCTCATACACACTCATCAAGTCGTCCAAACTCTAATCATAATCATAATGCCTCACCTCTATTTCAACTGGCACAAAAAAATAATCAACCGGGCCAACCAGCCAACCTCTGCTAGCAACTAAATGCTGTACGCGCGCCCGCACAAACACAAGAGCTCAAGTACTTACGGACAAAGGGAGCATTAGCTGTCCTTTGTTGTGATGGAACGGATACATTTTCTCCATTGTTGTTGATGGCTTCAGAATTAAACGGCAATTTATTTCGTAAACAATTACGGTTTTGCTCTCCAATAAATATATCATTATGCAAATTTCACAAGTCTTTGTGGTTTACAAAAGGGGGAATGTATATATATTTATAACAAGACACGAGATAGTGTATTTTAATCAAACCATTATGAAAACTCCACGTATCTCGTGACATAATCATGTTGCTGTAATAGAATTTAACTGATGTATTACGCACACACATAGGCACGAAGCTGTAGTATACCCATACTTATGTTCTTTTTTTTCGTTCAGGAATGATAATTTTTAGAGGCATATTTGGATAGGAATACAAATCATTTTTGGAACCTTACTAGCAAGTGGCTCGGGCACATGATCTCAGCGTGATCCATCAACCCTGCCGAAGAGCGGCTGGCACGACAATTCACCAGAGCAGACATCGTCACTAATAAGAGAATATGGAGAATGCTCTTTGTATCACAAGGAAGAACATCGCATGCAATGCGAGTATGTTTCAGGGAAAGCACAAATGGCGCTCTTGCCAGCTAATGGTAAATTCTAAACATTCATTTTTTATTGACACCACATCTGCCACACAAGCAACTGCCTTAAGAGCAGCATAAGCAGCTGATGGTTGTCAATGCAGACTTTGCATCGCACAGCCTGGCTAAGATGCCAGGCTGTGCGATGCATCCGTAGTCTCCAATTATCGTTGGACGGTCCTCATTTTCCACTGGCAGTCTCGAGTTAGATGTGGAAATGTCACGATCATGTGTCGGAGACCGGTCCTTCCCGGGCAGAATTGCCCCTGCCTTGACAGGATTGTGGCGCTCAGCAGATGGTGCTCATTTTACCTGTCCCAACGGGTTGATGGAGCCGTGTTGATCCAGGCTGGCAGTTGAGGGCTCAACCTTCACAATTGGGAGCCCTACTGATCCACCAGGTGATCTCTGTCCTGGCCACAGTGAGCCAAATTATCCATTTGAATGTATGCACACAGATGGGGGAGTGTTTTGAC